TTACAAAAACAGGCACCTGGCTTTTGGTGTATAGTTTGCCAATCCATGACCTAGATTATCAATCATCTTGGTAAATGTTCTGTGCATACTTCAAAAGAACATGTATTCTGTTCTTGTTTGTTGGAGTATTCTATATATGTCGATTAAGTTAAGATGGTTGATAGGGTTGTTCAAGTCTTCTACATTCTTAATAATTTTCTGTCTGCTTGTTCCATCAAATAACAAGAATGGTGTTCGTTATTTTTACCTATAGTTCTAGATTTGCTTATTGTCCTTAAAGTTCTGTCTGGTTTTGAAGTTCTGCTATTAGTTGCATAAATGTTCAGGATTGTTACATTCTTTGAATTGAAATGACCCACTTTGTCATTAAAAAATGACCCTCTTTCTCCCTCGTAAGATTAATTGCTCTGAAATCTATCTCCTTTATTAATGTAGCTAGTCCAACTTTTTCTGTTTAGTGCTAGTGTGGTATATCTTTTTTCCTTCCTCTTATTTTGGACTTATTTTGTATCTTTATATCTTAGATGGGTTTCTTAGAGACAGCATATAGCTGGGTCTTTGCTTTTTTTTTTTCCAGTCTGGCAATCTGTGACTTAACTAAATTGCTTAGATCATCTACATGTAACATGATTATTAACATGTTTGGTTTACTCTACCATATTGCTGTTTGTTTTCTATCTGTCCTAATTTGTTCTTTGTTCCATTTTTTTCCCTTTTTTCTGCCTTTTTTTTAAACACCTTTAATATGGTATGATTCCTATACAATAAACTGCACATATTTCAGACGTACAATTTGATGAATTTTGATAGATACATACACCAATGAAACTACTACCGCAATCCAGATAGCTAACATTTCCACCACTCCCCAGGAGATGTTTCGGCCTTACTTTTGACTGAGTTGTTTTTTTGTTTGTTTGTTTGTTTTGTTCTGTTTATCTTTTCTGACAGCTTATTAGCTATAGCTCTGTGTGTGTAAGCAGTTACATTAGGGTTTCTAGCACACATCTTTAACTTACCACAGTATTGTCAGGTGCCATACTACTAATAAATAGTATAAGAATCTTACAGTAGTCTTCTGTTTCTTCCCTCCCCCATCTTCGTGCTGTTGTTGTATATTTTACTTCTACCTGTGTTATAAACCTCATGATATGTTGGGAGCAAATAGTTGATCTTTTAAACAGATTTAACTAAGAAGAAAAATATCTTCTGTTTTTCCCATGTAGTTATCATTTCCGATGCCCTTTATTCTTCTGTTAAGTCCCAGGTTTCTGTCTGGTATGATTTTTCTTCTAGTTGAAAGACTTCCTTTAACATTTCTTCAGGTATAGATCTGAATTCCTTTTTTTCAGCTTTTGTGTGTCTGCCAAAGTCTTTATTTCACCTTTGTTTCTGAAAGATGTTTTCACTAAGTAAGGAGTTCTAGGTTGACAGTTTTTTCTTTCACTGACTTAAAGATGTCACCCCACTTTAAAAATAATAACTGTAGTGGTTGCCGAACCTTTAAAGAAAACTTCATCCCTTTGTTTTTCTTATTACAAATGTTGTAGACAGTATAAAAAATTCAAATAGTTAAAAAGAACAAAATTTAAATTACCTTTATTCCCACTGCAAATATTCAATCACCGTTTGCATATTTGTTCATCTTTGTTTCATGAAAATTTAGTTTTCTAAAGTAAAATTTGAATATATGCTGCTTTGTAACCTCCCTTTTCAACCTAATCGTGAAACTTAGTTGTTAATATTTTCCATGTCATTATAAATCCTTCTTAACAGATTCCTATTTTCATATTTAATAGAACTCTTTTTAAAGCTCTAGTGCCATTCCAACTTACATTATTGAAGTTACTGGACCTCTAGACATTGACGCAGAAACTACAGTTTGATTGAGCAGACTTTTAGATGATATTTTGGAAAGGGCTTGAGTCTTCAAAGATGTCAGACTTACCAATGGAGGACAACAGTTGGGGGTTACGATCTCCATTGACAGACATAAGAAATCGCAAAAAGTGAACCGATAGTTTTTTTTTCTCTAATGACTGACATTTGATAGATGCAGTTCTTGTGTTGTTACCAACAATGCTAAAATAAATCATTTGACACTTAGATCATTTTGCATGCTTGCAGCCATATCTGTTGGATGAATTCTCAAATGCAGGCCTGCTGAGGCAAAGGAAATACCCATATATGTGAGTATGTATGTACATACATACAATTTTTGTAATTGTCGTCAGATTTCTCCCAGTAGCGCTTATACCGATTTCTCCTTCCCACAAGCAATGTATGACAGTCTGGCTCCCCATATCTTTGCCAAGATTATCAAACTTCAGGATTACTGCCAATCTGTTAGGTAAAAAAATGAATTGATACCTTTGGTTTTCGATATTCTATTTTCTTTTTCCCTCCTGATTTTTTTTTGTTTCTTCAGTTGCTCTTGATAAGTAGTCCTCTCTCCTTACTTGCCTCACCTTTAAATGATATAGGTCATTAGATAGTTAACTTCAGTAGCTTCCCAGTTTAGATTCCCAGTGTCACATGTGAATTTATAAAAAGATGTACATGATAATGATTAAGACTTACCAAAGTAAAACATAACCAGGTCTCTTATTTTTAAGCCCATTAAAGTGTTGAAATAGGTAAAAAGGATGAGTAGTTGGCCCCTTTCACAATAGCAGTATGAATACTTACCTTGTCAAAGTTCATTACAGTTGAAGGGACCACTAAGAAAGGGCTTCAGCAACGTTTAAATGCCTGTCAGTCTTCACAGCTCAGTCTTGTCATCACGAGTAGAGCACACATCCTAGAATGCGTGCCCATCAGCCTGCCTGCTTCAGCAGGCGATGCTGGTAGGTTGTGGCAGAAAACAGAAATGGGCCCTTCTGTGTTCAGGACAGTCTCTGAAAGAGGTTTGTTGTGACATTTTCCCATGTTTATCATATTTGATGTTTTCACCTCCAGTTGTGTATTAATTTTTATCACAGTGGTCTGGGTAATGGAGAGTCAGAGAACTTAACTTCTGTTGGAATTGTTTTTCTTCAAGAACCTAATTTTACTACTCTTAGTGACCTACATGGCTCTGTTACTCCTTTCTAAAGCAGTGCACTAATGTTGCCAGTGATGCACATTGTCATTTGTAGACTCATGTGGTGAATATATGTCTCTTTGGAGCTCTGCTACAGTGCCATTTTCTTCTTGTGGTCTTCTGATTTCTGTTTTCAGTTGTGAAATAGAACATGTCAAGTGAATTTCTGATGAGCTCTTCCAGGTCTGTACTGTTAAGAAGTAGGATACTGCCATCCAAAATGTGATAATTCCAAGTTTGGTGTTCCGTCTTCTCTTGAACATTTCTAGCTGTTGATTTCCACTGTTGTTTCAGTTCATGATCATGGACAAGTCTTTGAACACGTTTATTTGATAGTACACTGTTCCTTTTTGTTTGTTCTCTTGGATCACAGTAGATCCAATTTAGTCAGTTGGTTTGTTAGCTGATCGCACTGAACAGCATTTCTCTGCAGGGTTGTCACATGGCCCCCGTGTGTAAGTTACTGTGAGTCCTAATTTTGCATGTTTAGGGATTTGGGATACTCAAGAGATTTCTAGCGTTATCACAAGTAAATAGAACAATAATTATACTCAGCCTGCTTCATACATGATTTAATTTACTATCATGTCATCACTAAATATGAGGTGGAAAAAAATGTTCTAAAATTGGATGCATTGCTGCTTTTATTTTCATTTGTAGCTTCTTTCTTGCTTATCTTTGAGAAAGCGTGGAAGATTTTCATCTCCGTTGTGATTCTCATAAGCTCAAACCATTTTTCCACCTAAGTCTGCTGTGTCTGCCCAGGGCTTTCTCGGTCCCAGCAGTCTCACTCATGCATTCCTTTTCTCGTTGGAGATTCAGCAGATGAGGGGGAGCACTGTGCCTGTGTACCTGCTTGGTAGAATATCTCAGCGGAACAGGGATGTTTCTTCAGAGAGATGCACACTTATAGCTGCTTCGGTAGAAAAATAAAAAGGGTTTTGTTTTGTTGAAAATAACTCCATTTTTCCTTCTCTCAACCTAATAAAGTTTGTTCAGAAAGGTTCCTGTGTTTTTCCAGCAGAGTATCCTGAGGTGCTTGTAAGATTGTTAAATTGTTTGATAATGTTTTTTCTATGAGGCATGGGCTTATTTTCGTCTTTCCTCTTTCAAGTGAATTTTTGGATGAAAAATTAATTCTCCCTAAATGGGAGTTCTGAAAAACAAAACCAGATCCTATGGTTCCTACTGCTATACATACCAGTCAGAGTAGCTCTGGATTGAGGACAGATACATTGATAGAAAAAATTGCTCCCAGGAGCCAAGAAGAGAGCTTTGCATTAAACAGGTGATTTTTCCCCCCACATATTAACACTATGCAGTTATTGAAATAATAGTTCCCTGCATGGCATGTTCAAGGTTAACAAAAGATCATGAGAACTCTTTCTGCAGTACTTTTCATATTGCAGCAGAAGTGCAGGTTAGAAACAGAACCATGGTACATTTGAATCTCTTGCACGCTGAGCTGGTGAGCTCTGGGCTCTTGGGGCTGGTGGCTGTGAGAAGCTAAGGTGTTGAGGTCTGCTCTGGGGGCCACATATGGATGCAGCTGGTCTGCATCCCAGAGATCCTGCTCAACACTGTCCAGGCTCCGAAAAGAGAATCAGGAATTGCCCAGGTCTGGAAAGGTGGTGGGCTATCACAGGGGACGTGGAGAAAGCTTACTCTCCAGATAATAAAAAGATCTACTTCTGAATGTTTATAACTTTTTTCCTTAGGATTGCAGGAAGAAAATACAATTTTAAGGTCACTGCTTTTATGTTTATGCTAAAGAAAGTGTCAGATGACTTTGGTTAGGGTCTCAGACATCTATTCTACCCCAAAATTGATTTTTTTTTGGACAGAAGGTCAGCTCAAGGATGAAAGTGATTTTCACCTTGTCATGCCTTCTCTTGAGCGTATGCTGTGTGTTTTTCAGTTCTCCAGTGCCGTACTCTACAGCCAAAACGCCTCACCCAGTGTTGACCCCCGTGGCTGCTAACCAGGCTAAGCAGGTAATTTGCTGGGTTTTTCTTTGCTAACGTGACATGCAGTGACTGTCCTTGTAACTGAAGACAATCCTGTATGAAGTCTTGTTGTTTAAGTGAACTGTATATCTGACAAAGACCTGTGATCCTTTCCCCACAGTTTATGCCAGTCTTGTCATAGTAGGCCAGGCAGGCCCTGCTGCTGTCTTTGCAGGCCATTTGACATCCTGCATTCTGATACCTTATATTTCTGTGGTGTATCTGGGTTGGAACTTACTTTCGCTTAACATTATTGTAGCTAACCCATACAACAACTATCTGCAATAGACAAGATAGATACTCAGATATGTTTCACTAATGAAGAAGCCTAGGCTCGGGTGACTGAACACAAGCTTTCAGGGCTAGTAAGTGATGGAGCCCAGGCCCGGGCCTTCTCACTCCCTCCTGTCCGCTGCTTTGTTCAGTGTGCCTTTCAGTATCAGTTTTTGGGGACAGACGCTCTTGCTTTCTCTTGCATCCCTGTTTTTCAGACCTTGTATATTCAGTCATGTTGTATATTATATCTACTTTGAGGCTTTTGCCTGAAAAACATTCTTTCTTACAAAAATAGGTTATACTGTAAACAGTTGACCACCCGAGAAGAAAATAATAGAAGATGGCTGAAAGGTAGAGGAAGCTGTGTCTGAAATGTTCCCTGGGAAAACCTCGTTTCTCTGCTACTTTCATACCTACCTTTAGAGAAGTACTTTCAGATTGTGCTTGAGATTGAACGTCAGAACTTGCTGGTCATGGGTTCTCAGACGTGGCTCTCTTCCTTAGTTTGCTGTGACTTAACATGGCATTTAAGCAGTTAAAATACAATGTTTCTTCTAGAGGTTTCCATGTTGGCCTTGGAAAACATGTGGTAAGGCTTAAATCATAACAAACGAGTAAAGAATGTTGACTGGAGATGGATACGTTGATAGTTTTGCTTTTTAACCTCATTATAAATTTATTGAGGGCCAGAACCTATTTCATTCATTCAGATTTCCCTCCATTTGTCTGTCAGATATTCCAGTGCCTTTAATGTGCCAAGCGTTGTGTTAGGCACTGAGAAAATAAGCACAGGTAGGCAGGCACGACTCTGTTTTCTCGATGCCCGCGGACTATTCCCATCTCTCATATGGTGTTACACGCGGTGAGCATTTGAAAATACTGACTTAAATTAAAACTTTAAAAACAAAATTAAACTAAGTAAAAGTTTTTGTGCTTGCTTATTTTAAATTATGTTACCATTTTACACGTTCCTTTCTTCCAAAGGCTGGTTAGTGGTTTCACATGAATGTTTTGCTCCTATTACAGGGATCGCTAATAAATTCCCTGAAGCCGCCTGGGCCCACACCAGCGTCCAGCCAGTTGTCATCTGGTGATAAAGTTTCAGGTCAGTTTGCACTTCTGTTTTACTGAAAATAAAGTGAAAGATAGGCTCCACAAGATTTTTTTTTTCTTTTTTTCCACAAGAAAGTTTCTTGTTCTTGATCACAAAGGCAGCTGACATAGGAAATCAAGTAAAGATACATTTGAAAGGCCTCAGTTGATGTAACATCTCTAGGAAATTGGCCCTTCAGCAGCTGTGTGGACTTGCGAAATGTGAGAGCAGCAGGAGAAAACCTTCCTTTAAGTGTGTTTCCTAAAAAGGAGCAATAGTGTTGTCTTCACCTGCCTTGCTGGAAGGTCAAAGTTTAGAAAGGAGTGGATTGAAACATTGACCTCTGCTCCGTCTGCTGAAAGGAAAGAAAAACTCTGTGGGTTTGCAGTGACAATTCAAAAGCCGGTAAAATACAAAAGTAAAATGGATCTGTTACAATATAAGATTTCGGAGTAGATCTAATTCAGTATTAAGGGACTGTGGCTTCATATGCTTCTAGCACTCCCTCAAGCATAATTACTCTTAACCAACAGTAGTTTTTACAGTCACCATAAAGTGCCCAGGCCAGCCTGACACAGAAGCATGCTTGTATGTGCAACCTAATTTAATGTGGGGTGCTCCTTGGCACCCCCTTTTGTTGGCTCTGTGTTAGAGCCCACTTCATCTGGCCCGTGTACTTTGTGCTCCAGGGGTCTTGTGCCATCCAGTCCAGCATTCTCACCACACTCTGGATTCCAGCTTTTGATTCATGGTCTCAAGTGGGTTTTCAGACTAATAAATACTGTTAGAGACGCTGAACTTCACACATTAGCAACCTGCTTTCCATAGTCTCCACGCAGTCATACAGTCATCCTAACTTTCTCTGTAATCAGAAGGCTTCTCATTGAATATTGGGTTTATCTTCAGTTAAGTATTCGTTGCACTCAAAAGAAAACCAGTGTTGGGTAAGCCCAAGTTGTGTTCTAGAATTCAAATTAATGCAGAAGCACAGGTTTTATCATGTCAGCCTTAATGAGTAAGAGCCAAATGAGCATCTCTTGACTGGGCTCTAAAACTTTATGTTAGAAGGAAAAATTTAGCAGAGTTGTCAAAGACCTAAGATTCAAATTTAAAAATCTGTTTCCATTTCTAGCTAATATTTGAGGAAAATTTTAAGAAAAATTTTGTAAGATAGTATATCCTAACTTCTTTCAAGGATTTTTTCTTTTTTTTTTTTTTTGGAGAGCTTTCTGTCACTCCTGAAGTTAGGAATCAAGGCAGTCTCAGGGGCTTTGCTTCATGAAAGTCTTCTGCACTTAGAAATTGCTGAGATCGATCACTCAGTGATGACTGTGAAGCATCCTCTGTCATTGCCAAGTGTTTACTTCTATTTTCACCTGCCAGGTAATCAAAAGGGAAGGACTTTTTTTTAAGTAGGAAAATGTCCATGAAAAATACTATTTACGAGTTTGCAAAAATTTTATTAAAAAAAAATTCTGAAACCTCTATAGAGTAATTCCCTTATTATTAATGACAATAATACCTCTTTGTTCTTCTGGTTATGAAACTATTACAGGTCCATAGAAAGTCTGTGGTGTAGAGCTTATATGTGCAGAAAATGAAAGCTGACCTATAAGTCCCGCATTCCAGAGATCGCAGTCCTTAACGGATCTGATCTTATCTCTTGAGGTTTGATGTGTATCTATTGTTGTTTTTTAAATAAAAATAGCCATGTCCTGTATATATTGATTTGTAACCTCTTTCCCCATCCCCCTTACAATTAATATCCTGTTCATCTTTCAAGGTCTGATACAGCTCTACCTGACTCATTTTAATGGTGGCCTAGGACTTCACTGTGCAGTTGTACTCTTAAGTTTTACCAGTACTCTGCTAATAGGTTAGATTGTTCTTAATTTTTCAAGATTGTAAGTAAGGCTGCATTGGACATCCTTGTACACATCACATTATAGTGGTTTTTAGAATAATTTTACAAATATTTGCCCCATAGTTACTTGAAGAAAAGGTGCCTTTTCTTACTGTTTGGTTTAGTTTGTTTAGGCTTTTTAAATGTCATTCCCCAATTCCCATCCCCTTTTAAAAGCAGAGCAACGGGAGAAAGATTATAGGTAATACTCCAAGCTGTTACAAGTAGTTACAGTGTATTGAGTGTGGGGAGGATGATGGGTTTCACTTTTAACTTTCTGCACTTCTCTGTGTTACATCAATCAAGTGTTACCTCTGTAATTAAAGAAGAAGAAAAACAACTATTATTTGTTAAATACAAAAATTCTGTGGAAAATACAGAAATATGGGAAAACAGAGCTGTGAAGTAACTACTCAGATATTTAGTTAATGTAACCTATTTCTCTTTGGATTTCTTCCCTTTTGGTATATATTACTTCTCAATAATTATAAAGCTACCTTTGAAGCCTCAAGTTTGAACTGTGCTCCAGTTATTTTGATCTCATTCCTGCAAAGGGGAAAGTGTGGCATGTCTTGTTTTGGGATTAACAGGAACAGAGCCAGAGAGCAAGCTCGGAGACCTTGAGCACGACTTAGCTGATCTTCTCACCGGGCCGCTGATGTCCTAGAAATTGCATGACCCGGGCTGCGCTCTCTGCAGCACTGCGTGTTAGGTGCTGCCGAGAATTACAAACTGGAGTGATGTTTCTGACTCTGTTTTTGTAATGTTCTTATTTTTTTCCCATCATTTCAGGACCAGGGGCAACCAAGATAGAAACAGCTGTGACTTCCACCCCGTCTGCTGTTGGGCAGTTTGGCAAGCCTTTCCCATTTTCTCCATCAGGGTCAGTAGTGAACTTAAATTTTGTGGCAGATCACCAGCAACCTTATAGATAGCTTCCCCAAATCTCACAGCCAGTAGGTATATTTATATGCTTATTGAATGTGTTTGGAGTTTCTTATCAGTACAGTAATGCATTTGGTGGTAGTGTCAGTAGCTTAATGTCCTCATGTAAATCTGTTTCCCCTTTTTGATTCAAGGTTTACATGTGTTATTCCATGTCTGTTTAATTGTTTTGTGTTTTAGGATGAGCCTAATTGTCTCTGGGTAGTGGGTCTGTGGTTGGTCTAGTTTATCACACTGCAGTGTTTTCATTCTGGCACCATTTGAGGACTAGATGTAATGTTTGGATTGGCTTTGCTGCCCTGAGAGGTCAATATGCTAAACTGAGACGTGAAGACAGAAACCGCTTGAAAAGTTGGGGTTTATACAGATGTGAGGAAATCCATCTGTTTCCTCTTTTACACAGTAATGACGACCGTACTTGTAAAGCCGAGCCATCTTTTAACAACGAAAGGGTCTTCTAACCCTTTCCCCGAGGGGAGCTTTTACTGGCCTTTTCTCTGGGCCAAGAGCACTTGTCGTGAAGCCTGTGAAGGCTGCCAAAGCAACTTCCCTGCAGGGTGGAGTTAGACCCTGTGTGGCTGAGATAAAAACCTATCCAAAGATTTTTTTTTTTTTTCCCCGTTGAAGGGTTTCACATCAGTTCCATTAGAAAAGCCTCTTAAGCTCTTCTAGCTTATGTTTTCGTAACTGGATTCATACTAGCCACAATCTCTTTTCCCTGGTGTCAGTTTGTTTCTTGTGTGTCCTTCAGCCTAACACCTTGGGGAAAAGGAGGGTGTTAGGATAGAGTTTGAAGGATAAATTTATTACGTTTTATCGTACATCATTATGTTTTATACTTCCCAAAGGTAGTTTGGAAGAATTTTAAAGACTAGGTCAGGCATCTGCCTGCCATTCCCACATGCACATTCCTGGTACATTTCTGCTCCTTTGCCTTCCTTGGAGTAGGTTCTCCCCCCACCCCAGCCTGTACCAGGGAAAGCCCAGCCATTCCTTCTCCCCTGCAGCTCCTTTGTTACCTCACCCACAAATTGCCTCTCCCTGCTTCGAGATCTTGGGAGGGCTCTACTGCTTCGAAGATGATGTACTTTTACTTCGTTGACATTTACCATCTAGACTGTAAGTCCCTGGAGAGCAGAATGTGTGAATGAATTCTAAGATGTACTATTGAAAGGGCAATGCTGTGCCTTAGGTTTGTTCCTTTTTAACTGCTCTTCTTCCACTCCCTAGGACTGGCTTTAATTTTGGGATAATCACACCAACACCGTCTTCTAATTTCACTGCCACACAAGGTACAGTCTCTGCATTGCATAGCGTTACTTTTGTGTCTCCCCCTAAACAAGCGCAGGAGTTTTCGTGCAGATATGTTGGCATTTTACTTGCTGCTGAGTCTTGCTTAAAGCATCTGCAGGAAACTTAGTGTTGATGTTATGCATTAGAAGTAGGCTGGATTTAAGCACTGCTGGGAAGGCCTTCTTCTATCTACATAGTTAAGAACAAGGAAAGGATTCACTTCTAGAAAAGCAAGGCTGTGTGTTAAATGTGAAAGATTTATACGTGAATTAAAATTTCTTTCTCCATCTGTTTTGTATGTCATTTAGAATTTTATCAGTTTATAAGTTGAGGTAGACATAGTACTATAGAAGTAAAAGATTGAAGCCATCTGTTTCTATGATAACCTATCAGAAAACACACTGGCCTCACGCATGTTATTACGGACCTACCAGCCAGCATGTTTTTAATGTTTAAAAGAATTTGAGGACCTATATGGAAACCAGGTGTATTTTTTAAGTGCCTTTCAGTTCTCAGTTTAAGTAATTGAGTTTATTTTTCTTTTAAAAAGATTGTTGCATTTTATTATAAAAGTGGTATGTTCTAGAATCACACATTGTACCCTTAACCATTGTAATTATGTGGTATTTCCTTCTGGGGTTTTTGCTTCCACTTTATTTCATTTAACACAATCTCTTATAAATTTTCCAGCATTATTGAAATTCTTGTATAAATGTCACGTTTAGGGCTACATAATTTCCGTCTTGTGGATTTGCCACAATTTATTTAACCATCCATTTACTGGACATTAAGGCTATTTCCAGGTTTTCCCTGTAATGAGTAACGCAATGATCATCTTTCAGTAGGTTGAGTAGATTCAGCAGATATTTTTGAGTGCTTTCTGTGTGTCAACCCAAGTGGTGAAAGTTTTTTAGTAAAAAGAGGACCTCCTGAAATCTCCTAGAGGGGGCCGAAGGAGCTGAATGCATAACAGACCTCCTCCACCTGATCTGTGTGTAGCACATTAAAGGATTGTTGATTTCATCCCTTTCTGGAACAGTGATTCCTTTTTTTTTTTTAAACATGGCATTCTTTTTTGGGGGTGGGTAGGGAGTAATTAGTTTTATTTATTGATTTACTTACTTATTTTTTAATGGAGGTACTGGGGATTGGAACCAGGAACTCTGCATCTAAGCACGCACTCTACCTCTAAGCTATACCCTCCTCCCTGGAACAGTGATTGTTAAACTGTTCTGCCCACTTAGATGTGGCAGAGTAGCCTTGAGACACCTCCCCATTCTTACTTTCTAGAGGAAAAACAACTCAATGATATAAAAAGATTGGAGAAGAACAAAATAATTGTCAAAAATCATAAGTAAATTAGTAATAAAACACAGCAGTAATTCCATAAACATTTTCATTAGTTCAAGGATAGACAACAATCCAAATCCGTGAAACAACTCAGTACAACACCAGTGATACCAAGAGGGGCTCCTGGCAATTATCTGCAGGTAGCAGGAGCTTTGCAGTTTTCCCGGGAGCTTATGATAGCCAGACATCTTAAAGCGGTACGGAGGTGTGAACATCACAAGCACGCCGCAGACCACTTTCAGCTTACAAATACCAAGTTTTAGTTACTCGTACTTACTGACCACTTTTCTGACCAGGCCTCGTGAGTGCTTTACCTATATTTCACTTAATCTTTGTGGCAACTGTGTGAGGTATGTGTTGTTAGTATGTCTGTCTTCCAAATGGAGAAATTGAAGCCCAGGGAGGTCATTTAACTTTTCCAGAGATGCACAGCCAGCAAGAGGCAGAGCCTCCAGCCTCAGAACCTGCCCATGTCCTTGACCAGTAGGTCGCACTGCTGCTGTGAGAATGCTTACTAGGAGAGCACTAGGAAGTAGCGCTTAATTGTATGTAAAGATGATTTCTTGTGGGTTGATGTGTTATTTGTCCATAAAACCAAAGGAAGAACTTCCATTTGGGATCAGTTCCTGGTCTATCAAGAGGCCCATAGGCTAGCACTGTGCTAAGAATATTATTGAGGAAAGCACACATGGGGAAAAATGGGAAGATGCCTTTTGATTTCTTTTTCAGGGGGTACTATGTTAATTTCACCTACTCCAGATATAGGTGTATTTGTTAAGATTTAACAGTCACAGAAAGAATGTTTGTTCATGTCACCTCAGTGAGATGACTCAGAGCTAACGTTCCTGTGGAGAAGCGTTCATTCTGTCCTCTCCAAGGAAAACTGCTGTCAGAACAAACGATCCCTGGCTGTATCAGGGAGGAGGGAGACTGGCTTAGAAAGTCAGTGAAAATGTGATAGATCAGATTTTGTGAAATGCAACCCATTTCCTGACTTCTTTTTCTTGCTAGGGGCAACACCCCCCAGTAAAGAGTCAAACCAACTCGACACATTCTCTTTTGGCGGGGGAGGCAAGTCTTTTTATGAGACCATTGCTGAAAGCTCAGCCCCCTCGGGAATGCCGGCGTCCAGCACCCCTGGAGCTGCTGTTGCCTCCCCAGGAGAGTCCGCTCCCTCCGGCAGCAGACCTGTGCCACCTTCTGGAACTGCTCTTGCCACCCCCTCTAGCAAGCCGGAAGCTCCGCCGTCCAAGTTGGGAGAGCTTCTGTTTCCAAGTTCTCTGGCTGGAGAGACTCTAGGAAGTTTTTCAGGACTGCGTGTTGGCCAAGCAGACGATTCTACAAAGCCAGCCAGTAAGGCTTCATCCACAAGCCTAACTAGTGCCAGTGCACAGCCAACCAAGGCTTCAGCCGTCCCCTCCGGGTTTAGTTTTACTGGCCCCGCAGTGTTAGGGAAGCACGCGGAGCCCCCCGTCACCTCCTCCGTGCCCAGCACAGCGGCACCAGCAGCAGCCAGCACCAGCACCAGCACCAGCAGTTCCTCGACTGGCATCTTTGGCAGTCTGCCACTCACCAGTACGGGGTCCTCTGGGGTAATCAATTTTGGTGGCTTATCTCTAAGTGGTAGTAAGACCAGTTTTTCATTTGGAGGCCAGCAGATGAGTAGCATGGCGCCCTCATCTGCCCCACCCTCAGCTGCCACTGCCACTCCCTTGCCTGCATCATTCCCCACGTCATTTGGTAGCCTCCTGAGCTCAGCATCTGCTCCCACCCTGCCTGGGTCCTCTAGTAAAGGCGCAGAAGAAGCCACATCATCAGCAGTGCCCGAGAAGCCAGGCAGTAGTGAGACCCCAGCGTCAGCAGCCTCCTCCCTTCTAGGGCAACAGCAGTCAGCACAGCTTCCCCAGGCTGCTCCTCAAACTTCTGACTCTGTTAAAAAAGAACCCGCTCTTGCCCAGCCTGCAGTCAACAGCCTTGGCACTGTAGCGTCTACTACCAGTGTCGCAGCGCCTTCTGCAGAGGCTGCTCCGGCCACCTCCGGGGTCCCAGACGTCAAGACGGAACCGCCATTTCCGGCTTCCACCCATCCCGTGCCCGGGCAGACTGTCGTCACCACACCTGCGGTCCCAAGTGCAGTCCCCGTGGCCCCAGAAACATCAAGACCCCCCACAACCTCCAATGTCGTTTCCAGTGTTGCTCCCAGCGCAGCTACGGAGATAGCGGTGTTTGGGACTGTCACTTCCAGCTCATCTGTCTTTCCCCAGCCACCGGCTGCCAGTTCTAGCTCAGCTTTCAGCCAGCTCACCAGCAACACGGCCACCGCCCCCTCTGCGACCCCCATGTTCGGGCAGGCGGCAGCCAGCACCGCACCGAGCCTGTTTGGGCAGCAGACAGGCAGCACGGCCAGCACGGCGGCTGCCGCGCCGCAGGTCAGCAGCACAGGTTTCGGGGGTCCGGCCTTTGGCACCGCTGCCACAGGGGTCTTTGGACAGACGGCGTTCGGGCAGGCCCCGGCCTTCGGGCAGTCGACCAGCAGCCAGGCAAGCAGCTTCTCCTTCAGTCAGCCCGGGTTCAGCTCCGTGCCTGCCTTTGGTCAGCCCCCGTCCTCCACCTCCACGTCTACCAGTGGCAATGTCTTTGGTGCCTCTTCCAGCACCGGTAGCTCCAGCTCCTTCTCATTTGGACAGTCTTCTGCCAGCACAGGAGGTGGGCTGTTTGGCCAGAGCAACTCGCCTGCCTTTGGTCAGAGTCCTGGTTTTGGGCAAGGAGGCTCAGTGTTTGGTGGCACCTCAGCCACCACTACGACAGCAGCATCCTCTGGGTTTAGCTTTTGTCAAGCTTCAGGTAAGCATGTATGGGAGGTTTTTACTTTCTTTCCCTCTGTATTACTTGAAACATTTGCAGCAACTCTGCATTACTTTTGTAAGTGAAAGAATGAAAAGGAAAACCTAAGAGATTCTGAAGTCAAGGGAGCTCGGTGCCCTGGCGCCAGGGGCATTTCTGTGGTCTGATCTCTGTCGCTCCAGCTCTGCTTTTCAGCAAGATCTGCACTGTCCCAGCCACCAGTGCCAGTTCCGTGATGGGGAAAAGGCAGGTCTGAGGAAGTGGCAAGTGACAAATGATTCATAAGAATGAAATTTTAAATTTGAAAGGTGCTTTAGAGGTCATTATGTCCAAAACTTTCAGACCTCGAGGTGACTGATGTAATATTTAGCACCAGTAACGGAGCCAGAACTAGACCCCGGAGCTCCTCATCCTAGCTCACTGCCCTACCAGTGTTTTGTATTTCCTCTGACACCGTCTTGCTTCCTAGAAGTGCAGAGACTGACATTTGAAAAGTTGGGGGGGAGGGTATGGCTCAAATGGTAGAGCACATGCTTAGCATGCACAAGGTCCTGGGTTCAGTCCCCAGTACCTCCTCTAAAAGTAAATAAGAAAACTTAATTGCCTCCCCCCTCAAGAAAATATTAAAAATAAATTTAAAAAAGAAAAGTTTGTATTTTTTTCTATTCTCAGTGTAATTTTTTAATAAAGCTTTAAATTTTACTAGTTTTGAAAGTAAAAAGTCATCCTCACTACTGCATATCCAATCTTAGCAGCTACATTTACTTCTAAAATCAATAGACAGGACAATTGGAAACTCTTTTCTAAGTTTTGCTTTCCGAAGGCATTTCATCAGCAATCAGGTTCAGGGGCGGGGTGGGTGGAATCAAGGATCAATGATGTCTTGGTGGACAGGATTGCAAGTAACTGCTAATTCATTCCTTTGGTGATAATTTACTTGAAGGTGGTTCATAATTTATTGGAAAGGAAGTCTTTTCCTTTCTTCCTTCAGCAGTGTTTGTTAAGCTCCTACTAAGTTCAGCTGTAAGAACACAGTGGTGAAAGACAGTTTTGAAATCCGCCTGATGCCCTGTGAAGGGGCTGGTTGGCCTCTTTGAGTGATGGGAAATGGAATACGTTGGTTAGAGTGGGCAGGGAAAAGGCCTTGTGGTCTTAAAAGAGAGTAGCCTATTTAACACTATCTCTAGTGCATTCTTTGTTCCACAGTCAAAAACTTGAGAATCCCTCATGCACAAGTATAATCGGGCTCTTTTAGTACAACTGAGAGCCTCTGAAGAACTCTTCTTTCTGCAGTAAGGTGCACACTAGGGGGATAGGTGCCTGAGCAGTCTCCTGCGGCCCTGGCTGCGGGACTGAGACTCGCCAGAGCTCCCCTGCTAGACCGACAACAGAAACGAGGATGGCATTCGCGCGCGTAACTCCTTGTCTGGGGCTCTTCTGTTACGTAGTTCTGCCTGGTTTCCCAGGCCCTGTGCAGCCCAGCACCTCAACCATGTTATGCCACTGAGAAGAAGCATGCACTACCCTGAGAGAATCTGGTATTTGGAGAGATCAGAGGAGACCAGAGAGTAGGAGTGTTCCTGATAGTCAGTCAGTCGTTGGAGAAACTGTTGGCAGCTCTAAGTCTAAGGAAAAGCTGCTCGGAGAGTCTGCGCCCTCCTGGGGTTTGGTAGGAGACAAGGATTCAGTCATTGGGACGTGGAATTGTTCTGTTATAAAATTTTAGCAATGAAGAAAAGATCTTTAAATTATTTACTCATAGTTTTCTCCATTTCCTAGATGGGAAAACAGATATTATTCGTGAGTTGATTTATTCTGGGGTACTTTAGTTACTTATTTATTTTTACTTTTAAGATAATTAAGCCTTTAATTCCTTGTTTCACAGTAAAGCTGGCCGTGTTGGTGGCTGTTGTGGGGTACTTTAGCACACTTGAATGCCGTTGAGAAAACAGAAAATACAACTTTGTTGCACAAGATTCATCCAAATTAAAACTTTTGTTTTCTTTTTACTTTACAGGTTTTGGGTCGAGTAATACTGGTTCTTTGTTTGGTCAAGCAGCCAGCACTGGGGGAACAGTCTTTGGCCAGGTAAGTATGTATGTTTGCCTCGCTTCCTGACAACACGTATCAGACCCATTTGTGCTGTTCCTGTAGCGTAATCAGCCGTGCTGCGTGCCCAGCCCCAGCAGACAGCCTGTGGGCCGCTAGCTCTGCCTCCTGAGGCTCCCTTGGAGACGCAGAAGTCTCAGCCTCTGATGAGGGAGAATCCGCCAGCGTGCCCTTGTTTAGCAGTCCTCGCAGGAAGCACTGTACTAGTACGCTGACGTCCGTCAGTCTTCTGCCTGTTGTTACACCAGGGCTTGGCGAACTGTGGCCCGTGGGTTAAATCCATTCTTGGCTTTTTTTTTTTTAAGGTCTTTGAGCTAAGAGTTTTTATCTTTTTAAGTGGTTGTTTAAACAAGAAGAAGAATATGCAATATGCAAAAGAAACTGTATGCAGCCCTGTGCTAAGCTTTCTGTAGTCCAGAGACTCCTTTTGGTGACCTGAGCTGTTTCAGGTTGTCTGGCTGGTGGTTGTCTATGCGCTGGGCATGGTATTAAGTGCTGGGTACAAACTGACTCATGTAATCCTCAGGTCTTGTGTAATGTAGGTGCTGTTATTTCCCCATTGGACAGATGAGGACACTGAGGACACAGAGAGGTTGAATTTACTATTATAAAAGCCAGTAGCTTTCAGATCGTAGTAACCTCATGAGGAGTCCTTCCGAAGAAAGGTGCTCTGATACGTTGGAAATGATTGTGACTTTCCTGAAGGTAGAATTGGTATTTGTCCAGTAGTTAATAAAGTGGTTGCCATATTATGTTTCTAATAAATCTTCAGATTTATCACCTTTTTCCTTTAAAGTTGGGCTCTGCCCTAGTCAGTGATCCTTGACAGAGTTCTTTTTTTTTCTTTTTTTTTTCTTTGACAGAAAGTTCTGATCTTAAAGTTCTGGAAATAGCACATTAGGTCATTCAAACCAAGTTCCCCACTGAAAACAGCTAAAAATGCTAGATAAAATATAAAAACCATAGTTTTAAAAACACTTACAAGCTAACAAGTTATTTACCAGACCAAACTAAAGGGAAAATGGGAACTACAGAAGTGGGGAAAACACGAAAACCAGTTCTGCCCTTAGAGCATTTACTAATCTGGGAACATCTGAATTTCCTCTGTTAATAACCCCAAAAGCCAGACATCACTAAACAAGATACGCACAAAGTGGGAGGGCTAACAGAGACCCTCTCTGCAATAAGCCATGACTCCACACTCAGCAGTCTTGGCCTGTGCATGTGGCCTGACATCCAAGGATGGTGGTGTCTCCAGATGTCTGGCAAAACAGCACAGGCCACTCTGAAGAAAAGTTAGGCCTCAGTTAATTTTTAAGGACATTGATTCCCATACCTAAATTCATCACAAAAGGAAACAAAGAACTATGAGCAAGAGCCAGAATAAACATCAGACACACATTTGCAAAGACTTCCTAGACTGTGAAACAGCTGTGTTGTACATGTTTAAAAGAAATAAAAGACAAACTTGAAAATACCAGTGAAGAGAAGAAAATTATAAGAAATGTCATAGCAGCTTTGAAAAAGAACCAAATAGAACTTCCAGAAAAATAAAATAATTAAAGTTTTAAATCAGCAGATTAGACCCAGCTGAGGAGAACAGTAATCGACCACATCAGGGATCAGGACACTTTTTCTATAAAGGGTCAGATAGTAAACAGTTTAGACTTTGAGAGCTGCATGCAGTTTCTGTCACAACTACTCAGCTCTGCCTTTGTAGCACAGCAGCAGCCACCGGCAGTACGCAGTGGACAAGCATGGTTACGTCCCCACAAAGCTTTACTTACAAAGGCAGGTGGGGGCTGGGTTTGGCCCGTGGGCTCAAGTTTGCTGAGCCTTGAACTAGAAGTTCAGATTAAGTTATCTGGAATTCATCATGGAGAGCGCAGAAGATGGAGAATGCAATAGAGAAAGCAAAAATTGTTAAAGAGAAAATCTAACATACCTTTAATCAGAAGGAGAAGAGAATATATGATAATATTAGAAGAGAAAAGGACAGAAATTTCCAAACCAGCAGAAAATAGTAACCCACAGATTCAGAAGTCCAACAAATACCAGGCAGAATGTGTAAAAGGAAGCTGAGTCCAAGCCCTGCCACAGTGAAACTTCAGAAGCACTAACGTAAAATATTAAAAGGACTCAAGAGAAAAATAGGTTACCTTCAAAGGAGCAATAGTTGGACTAACAGCTGACTGCCTGGCAGTAGCGATGAAAGCTGGACACCTAGGATTCTACCTAGAATTTCTAAACCCAGCAAAAAAAAAAAAAAAAACTTTACAGAATGAAGTGAAATCAAGACATTTTTCAGGCAGATACGGAGAGGATTTACACCTAGCAGACCCGAAGGACGTTCTAAAGGGTATTCTTCAGGCAGAAGGAAAATCTGACCTCACTAAAATTGCAGCTTTCTTAATCTTAGGGTAAAACAAGCCATGAAATAGGAAAATTATATAGCCTATGTAACCAACAGAGTAATTGTATTCAGAATATAAACAATACAAATCAAAAAGAAAAAACACGACTGCACTCCCACCAAAATGGCTAAAGTTGAACAGCTGACAATACCCAGTACTCACGAGGAAGCAGAGTGACTAGTGGGAGTGCAGATTCATATACTCACTTTGGAAAACCATCTGGAAGTATCAAAACTAGATACACAGAATCCCTGTTGACTCAGCATATCTGCTTCTAGCCATATAACCAACAGAAATGGGTGCCTTTGTTCACCAGATGTGGGTAAGAATGTCCATAGCAGTGTATTCAGAATAGCTAAAAACAGGAAACAACCCACGTGCTTATCACTTGAAGAATTGATCAGTAAATCGTGTATTATACAGCAGAGTGCTACGAAGCAGTGAAATGATGAAATAAGGCAGACTGCTCCCATACGAAGCAAAGTGGGTGAATCCCACAGACGCAGTGTTAAGGGAAAGAAGCAGACACAGGAGTACATACTGCTGGCGTTGAATTTACCTAAAAAGTCAGGTGCAGGTGAAACTTAACCATCACGATAGAAACCAGAAGAGTGGTTACACTCAGGACACTAAAAATTTTATGGAGTACACAGGAGCTTTCAAAAGTACTAACAAAAGTTTGATGTCTTAAATGTTGAGTGTTACAAAGTTTTACGTCAAAATTCATTGAGCTCTCTACACATGAAATTTGTCAACTTAATGGAAAACACAATAGAAAGAAAATGGACAAGAGACTATAAAAAGTGATGGTTTTGGTTATATAACATCGTGAATGTACCTGATGCCATGGAGTTACGTACTTAAAAATGCTAAAGGTGGCAAGTTTTATGTATATTTTACCATAGTTTAGAAAAAGGGAGAAATAAGAAAGCATAGAAAGATAGCCAGAGGACCAATAAACATATTCAACTTTAGTTAGTAGTACAGTTAAAACTACGAAGAGATGCACATCTGTAAAACAGTAAAAATTAAAAGCCCAGCAATACCAAATGCCAGCGAACACGCAGAGCAACAGAAACTCACGTACACCCTTATTTGGGTTGTAAGTTGTCACAGTCGCCTTGGAAAATAGTTTGGCGTGATCTAGCAAAGTTCCACTCCTAGTTTGTTCTTTCAAGAAACTCATGCACGGGTGCACCAGGAGACAGTGTTGCAATAACTGAAGACTAGAAACAGCCCAAATGGTTATCAGCATTCCAGTGGGTAGATGAGCTTACGTTATTCTGTAGTAGAATGTTACTACATTGTGAAATATAGTTGTGAAAATGAACATATTAGAGCTACCTGGGTGACTCTCAGGCATGATTTGAGCCAAGAGATTTAAAACTTACTATGATAAACTCCCTATTGGTTTCACCCCTTCCCTCCCCCCCATATTCATCCTTCACAGAAATTATGTTTGCAGTTGGAGGGGCTAGAAATTTAAATGAATATTTTTTTCTATCGTGGCAGGGGCCTTCTCTGGTACATTCATTGCTATATCCCCAGGGCTTAGGACTGTGGCCAGCACAGGATAGGTACTGTAAAAATGAATGAGTTTTCAGGTAGTAGAGATATGCTCAGAAAAAAATCTGAGGATGCAAGGTAGATTCTGGCCAGGATATGGAAGACCTTCACTTTCATCATAATAGCAAGAACTCAGGTAGTGTGAAAACAACAGTAACTCTATGGGTATTAGAATTGTCTAGTGCTGTGTAACAAATTACCCCAAACCTAGTAGCATTCTCTAATGTTTGGCTTGGCTGTTGGTTTATACCTTAAGTGGAGCTCTTGGCTACATCTGCATGTGGCTTCTTTGTGTGGCCTGGGCTGCCTCACAACACGGTGGCTGGATTCCAAGGAGGAATATTCCGAGAGAGAGGGACCTGTTTGTGACCTGTCCTCAGAAGCCGCAGAGCATCATTTATACTGTATCTTCTTCAAGGCAGTCACAGAGTCCCACCCAGGTTCAAGGGCAGGGGAATAGACTTCACCTCTTGCTCTAGGAGAGTATTTAGGTCTAGAAATATTACTGCGATCATCTTTGGAAAATACAACCTGTCACAATGGGACTTACAAAGTGTGGCAGGAAGCCTTGCTGAACTGATTTCTGGAGAGGGGAGTTAATCGTAGGTGACTGTGATGGTACAGCACCTTTTGTGGGCAATTGTCAGGTCTGGGTTTGGAAAAGTGGAAGAGAGGCCTTGCTAAAGGAAATTTACTGTCGAGAAGAAGCCAGAGGAAGCTATTGGCAACAATCAGGACAAACAAAACAAATGACCAATAAGCACATAGAGAGGTAATCAAAGGTGTTATAAACATTAGGAAAATGAAAATCAAAACCATAATGAGATACTACTCCACATCCACTAGGAGAACTATAATTTAAAAAAACAAAACAATAGCAAGTATTGACAAGGATATGGAGAGACTAGAACCCTCATATAGTACTGGTTGGGATGTAAGATGGTGTGGCTGTTAGGGAAAACAAGTTCTTCAAAAAGCTAAACATAGAATATCTATGAC